TATCAATTGATAGTAAGTGAAAAGTTAAGGGAACCGTTTTGACCAATTTTCGAATCGCTTTTGCTTCATAACTCTGAAACGGCTCATGAAATTTTACTCAAATTCATAACGTTGATGACATAGCTTCATTGGGCAATAAAATCCATATCATGATTTTGCTGCAATTATTCCATGGGCGTAAAACATTCCTCCACAAAATAAACATCTATTTCTATGCCAATGGAGGGAGAATGATTTGAATATGAAATTTGGACTGCGTGGCTTTTTTACTTTGAAAATGTACGGTTCATGAAATTCGATTAGCTTCATGGTTTCGAAAAAATTTTAATCTTATAGTAATAGTCTAAGTGATATTCACATTGGAACGATTAACAGATAATTATGTCATAAACATTTTTCAAAAATTGAAATACCACACTGCCTCTATATCGGAAATGAGGCTTCTACGCATATATTATGTTCACATGTAATTTTTATCAAGAGAAAATATCTTATTCAAGCTGTCGAAGTCCCGCTACAATAAACTGACTCACCCTGTATTTTATAAAGATAAAACTATTATCTATCATCATCAAGTGTTCATATTGTTTGTCATTGTATAGTTGAAATCGAGGTGAAATAATTCGAATTCAAAGGTAGATATAATCATTTTGAGTACCAGACAGTGGTGTGTAAATAAAATTGAAAGCAATATTTCGACGTGAATTAATATATTCATATACGACGTGAAAGGAAATAGTCAGCAAATCTTCAAAAATGAAATGAATCAGCTGCAGACGCATGCGTTTCATAATATTAAATTCGCGAATAATTGGATGTAGTGAAGTTTTAGAGTATCGGATGAGGATATTTCTGTACGATTCACTGTTGCTTTTTAATTAACAGTGCTGCTATTAAGGTGACGAATGGAGTCAGTAACAAAGCCTACACAAAACAGAACACAGCTGAATGACCTTGATCAAGGTCGATAGCCAGTTGATATGTACCCTAACAACACAAGAATGTCCTAGGTACGTCCCTTTTTTGTCCTGCGGTACAAGGACATGATTGGGGCATCCAGGGGATGTGTCGCAGTGATTGTCCAGTGGACATTCCGCTCGGTACATCCCTAGGTTATCCTATTCGTGTCCCTGGAATATCTGATATCCGTTCACATCAGAGTCAGAGAATTTTTTTGAGTATGTTTGTTTTTCTTCCGCAAAATAATTGTAATGAAAATAAAGAATATAGTATCAGAACTTCTTAAGAAATGACCATTTTTCGCAAACAGAAATCGTAAAATCATAATGTCCCTCATTTTTAAACACCCAAGAATGATAATAATTATACATGAAATCCTAACAAAGTTGGATTCATTCAGGTTTCAATAATGTCAATAATCCCTAACTTTGGATCCGTCGAAGCAAGGGCGCAGAGAAACAAGCCAATTCTTGATGATGAATTTATTGAAATGGCCATTTTGGGATATTTGAAAAAATTGACTTTTCAACCGGATCTATATCATTTTCTGGTGAACGCCCTGTATCACAGTAATCGAATTGATATCAAAATTCTACTGGACTGGGTCCTCTCCTACGAATAAATCGATACACAATCGGAAATAAATGATCATATCCAATAATAAAAAAAAATTGTTTGGTCTGCAAACGCAATTTTTAACTTGAAATTTGAAATATTTCGAAAACAGTTAGACTTGGGTACAGGACATTGAACATGAAACATGTTCAGAATCTAAAACCTTGATAATATACAGGGTGTCCCATTCAAAATAACGAAGTTGGGGTCCACTTCCGGTACAACCGGAAGTGCCACAATCTGCGAAATATTTTAGCCGGATAGCACTTATCAACAATAGTGAACTCCCAAATTTTCAAATTCGGCCCACCTATGGTTTTCTACATATTGATCGATACAGTTCCCGGTGGGACACCCTGTATTATCTGCTTGCTCTCTTCAGCATTTAGTGCATTACCTACCTATCAACGTTGATTGATATATTACGCTTACGCTGGGAAGATGCCCAACCTGTGTTATTTGCGAGTCGATGCCCCTCTCATCCCCTCGTCTATCGTTTAGCCACTGTGAGGTAGCGACTCCACTAGGCACACAGAACATGTCTGAACTAATTGTACAGATTACTACACTTTTGTACAGAATTACAGATCCCATCCCACCGCGTGCTATCGCTCCAGAAATTCTTGTTTATTCTTGTCTTCTACGATGAGACCCGTCCCGCCCGACCGGTTCCGATAAAAAAATGTTTGCTACGGTCGGTGAATCCCATGGACAGTATTGATTTTCTCCTCGGTTCCTTGCGGAGGAGAGAAGAACAGAACATATTATGATCTCTCACTCATTTGGGTTCCTACTCCGTGGCGTTTTTTTAAATTTCCTTCCCTTGTGAATAACTTGTCATACTTTGCCTAGACCCTAGACCAATATAATTTGTATATCATCTGAAAAAACATCTCACGCCTTTTTCGTTGATTATTTTTTTTACTCAATTTGTATCCATTTTAAAATTTTGTATTAATAAGACATATCGAAAATAAATAGTCAGATATCTTTGAATCTTTGATTGGTAATGATTCACTATAAAAATGAAATAAAATACATCATCTATAATAGGCATAATATACAGAGTGAGTCATAACTATTGGAACATAATATATAGAATTCATTTATTTATTGGATTACAAGAGTTGATGCTGCAAGCTTATGAACCATTTTTTACAGTATCTAGTTGTTGAAAAATATGAACTCTTTTTTGGTATATTCGAGATAAAAACAAAATCAACAGAAAACAACTACATTTCCAGTCTATATGCCACGATATAATATAATCATGAAATCGGCGTTGATATTTTGTGATACCAGTAAGCTTTTCTGAGTAGAATCGATTTTGCCGCTCCAAAACAAACGGAGTACAGACTACGGAACGCTCAGAATCTCCGCCCTAACAACACAGGGATGTACTATATGCCACATCGTCCGCCATTCTGTTTTTTCCATTCAATAATAATATCACAACGAATTGTCACCGGAATAATATTTACTTGCCAAATTTCAAATCAATCGGACGATTTAAAGTGAGTCAAATTTAACTTGCACGTTTTGATTACAAACAGACACAAGGACATGTTAAACTAAGTAAAAGCTTGTTACGTGATATATAGAACAAACAGAGTAACAGAAGAAGTGAATATGGTATAATCATCGAAGTCAAGCAACAAAGAGCGCGGTTAGTACTTGAATGGGTGACACTGCTTGTGTCTACCGTTTGATGAAGTCGTTTATTTCCGTTTTTTTTTGCTTGTCTGCACTTGCTAACTTCAGTGCACAGGTGAAAATCAACTGAAACTATGTGATTTTTCCGTAATTTGAAAGATCAATTTGAGGTCATGGACCAAAAACACCTAAAAAAGACGTCTTAAAGACGTACATATCAGTGGAAAATGTACGTTTTAAAGACGTCTTAAAGACGTCTCTTGGGCGTAATATGTACGTCTTTAAGACGTACTTATGTCCCGACATGTACGTCTTAAAGACGCCTTCAAGACGTACTTTGGCTGATTGGACTGGGACGTCCCTAGTATGTACTCTGTCCCGACAAAGGATATCTCTGGGATGTCCTTGTATAAAATTAGGGACGTCCCTGGGAAGTCCCTAGGATGTAATTGTGTTGTTAGGGCGACAAAGGACGGCTTGGCATCCCTATCGCCGACAAACGCACCGAGTCGGCCGCCCCACATAAATCAAAGGAAATTATTGGCACTCCAAGTTTCGGCAATACATAGGTAGGATCATTATACCAGTATAAAATACTTTGGATTGATAGCGGTATAGAATTGTCACGCAATGTTCCGCGTTTTTCATGTGATAAATATCAGTAATTTCAATAATAAAAATTTCAAAAATTGTACACATAGCTCTGACAAGAAAATGATTTGCGACAGTGAATTATAGTTTGATTTAGTAATTCGACATAATGAAATATGAAATTCCACTCAAACAGACCCATTTAGATTCAGTTCTAGGGTAAAATACACTAAGGTGACAACACTGGTCCGGGTTCGTGAATTTCAATCAAATTTATGAGCAGCTAAAATATATTGATATCCGCTGACCAGTTTATTCCACAATCGCATGATCTCACGTCCGTGATGCGCTCGTTAGAAGCCTACGAATAAAAGAAATACAACTAATACTAACAAATTCGAATTTACCGCCATATTAGTCAGAATCGTACTGATTGATCATGGATTCGATATACAAGCGTTCCGGATTATGGATTGTTTAATTGTTCCAAGTCGCACGCCATCTGCATTCCAATAGATTCTCTTCGTAAGTGGCGCACCTGCCCGTCAAATTACGAACTATTGCTCCGACATCGTTCGACACTATCGCCGCCACTATGTGAGATTTCGAACTATGGTACGCCATCTAGTTGTGAGATTTTTTTGGACCTCGTTTTGCCCCATAAGGTTGGGCATCTTCCCAGCGTAAGCGTAATATATCAATCAACGCTATCAATGTGTCGATACTGTTGGGTCACAGATTAACAAACCTTTACAATACTGATGGCTGTACTTAACTCATGACGCTGCCTTGGCTCCAGCAATTTCACTTGAGAAAATACTCTCCCTATGGTTTCTGAAGAATGAGGCAAACATATTAGCAAACATATCACTATTGAATAGTCTCCAAAACAATACTCTTCAACTGAAAACCACACCTTATCAACTCTGAAGCCTAATTTCTACGACCGCTTGTGTGAAATTTGCCATTTCTCTGTTTTCCTTTTGGTTTAACGTTAACGAACAAAATAGTAGGTTCAATGAGGTTCAATGTCGAATTAACAGGAGAATAGTAGAACGGATACAAAAACAGTAGGTCTGGTAACGCTGTGTGTCGACAATCCCGAGCGCTTGCGCACTAGGGATACTGTTCCTTTAAACTTTGCGCTTTTGTCATCTCTCTGTAATTTTGTGCGCCTTGTCAGCGCTGGCCTTGTCTGACTGTCTTATCTGTAAGGTTTGTTAATCTGTGGTTGAATCTCCTCTTTGATCTATCCCCGCATCTACGCTACTGATTTGCGATAATCAATCTCAAGATAACGGCAAAGTCCATGGTCAAATTGATCCCATTAAATATTGGAATATTCTTATGTATACTTCATTTCAGTGACAGTATTTCCTCTTCTTGATTTTCAGTCACAGCAATATGGTTCTCTCCATGGAAAGATGGGTCGGTAAAGTTGCTGTCGTAACTGGGGCTAGCTCTGGAATAGGAGCAGCCATTGCACAGATGCTAGTTGAGAATGGAGTAATCGTAAGTGAAACATAATTTTTCAATAAAAACAACAATGTTGTATCATGATTTCGAAACGAATTGAAAAGTAGAAACTAATATTTTTTGTCCACCAGATCGCGCTACCGAAACGTGAAGTGGTGGAACTGATAAATATACTTCTCTCTGTGTCATTTGGCCACTTCTTATATGGATATCTTCTCCGTAAGAATTGGTCTTTCCATAAGTCTTTCCATAACTTGGGGTTTTCAATTTGTTCAAATATTCTACATAATTTTTTTCGAATATTTTTGATAAAACAGGCCACAGTCTTCAGGGCAATCCGGAAAAATTCTCGTCAATGAGCTCACGTTTTAGTATCGTCAATTGGTGAGACTGAAGATTTTATCCCCAATTGCAATGAGACTACTTATTGTTGTTTTTTTTTTATCTCTATTAGGATCGTGGAACATCTGGTGACCTTTAATATCTATTTATGCACTAGCGGGCCGTAAAGTGCACTTTATCGCCCGGTTTTGCGGGCGTTAAGTCGCACTTTACCGCCCGCGGGCTCATTATGGCCCACGGGCCGTAAAGTACACTTTACCGCCCGCTGTTCTCAGTCACCTTATATCCACATATCAATTTATGAAAAACCTATGATCATATTCCTAGATTCTGATATATCCAGCGGTATATCATAAACTTCTTCTTCATCCGATTCCATAGTCTCGCTATCATTATTATCACTAATTTTATTGTCAAGAATGACAATTCAGCTCGATTATTGGATGCATTGCTATAGACAACAACCATCAGATTGATTGACAACGTCAAAATAAGTAAGGTTTATATACTGATGGGTATGCATATTGTGAAATTTTGAAGAATGAATCTCTTCTAAAGCTGAAAGAGTTTTACTATTACGATAATTGCAATATTCGTACGATAATTTCCATATGTAAATCATCCATGAACATTACGCTTCTCTTGATTACTGAATTTATACGTAAAAAATTAAATTCTGGGGAGTATTAGTTTATCGAAATCTATAGTCATTACTTGAATTTCTGAAATTCAATTGACTATTCTGAAATACAATTGACGCTTTCTGAAATTGAATTGACTACTCTGAAATACAAAATACAAGTAACTATTCTGAAATTCAATTGACTATTCGGAGATACAATTGATGCTTCCTGAAATACAAGTCAATATTCCGAAATACTATATCAACGCTTTCTGAAATGCAAATGGATAAGTTATAGTTATAGTCTAATAACTATCCACTGAAGCAACCTGAGTGTATATCTATAAATTGGAAGCTGATGTCCAAATATTCAACTTTTCGAGTTATCATTGATTTTGAAATTCTAAATTTTGCATAGGTTGTAGGACTAGCAAGGAGGAGTGAAGAGATCGAAAAACTGGCTAAAACTTTGTCTGGCAAAAAAGGAAAACTCTACGCTGTCAAAGCTGATCTATCCAAGGAAGAAGATATCAAGAACGCTTTCAAATGGGCATCGAAAAATGTTGGGCCTGTCCAGATTTTGGTGAACAACGCTGGGATCCATGACAAATCAAGTTTGATTGATGGAGATACTGATAAATGGAGGAACACAATCAATATCAATGTTGTTGCCCTTTGTATAGCTACTAGAGAAGCCATCAAGATCATGCGAGACAATAAAATAGAAGGACACATTATCCATATCAACAGTGTGGCTGGTCACAAAGTACCAAGTTTGATAAGCGTAGATGTTTATTCTCCTAGTAAATACGCTGTTACGGCACTCACAGAGACTCTCAGGCTTGAAATAAATGCGTTGAAACTGAAGGTTAAGATTACGGTGAGTTATGAAAAAGAACTTTTTTTGATTCTGACAGTAATTTTAAACTTTTTAAAACTGACGGGAGTTTTGAAACGTCCTACTTCACGTGACCAGTTGCGTAATAATCTATTACATGAGTAGTGCGGAAAGTGACATATTTCGCACAAGATATGTTCAGCACGACGCCGCGTAGGGGCAGATAATGATATAAATAAAGATTCAGGTAGTTGTTTCATTTTCACTTTTCCACTAAAAACGTCGCGTGATTCATCCAGTTACGCAGGCGCGATGATGTCGTCTCTTTCTGATTGGTAGCTTGCTATTGTCTTTTTCACTGTAGCTGTAAATAATAATAATATTCAATACCATAAACACACACCATACATTCAACGTGTAGTAGTCAGTATCTATAAACTTCATTATTTTTATTTCATTGAAGACTCAGTTCGAACATAAACTGATTCTGAGGTAGGTACCTGAAACCTCTATGAAGCTTGCATGAGATATTATGCCTCAACTATACACAAAAAATATAAACTTTTATAGAAGAAGGATATAGGATTAGGTAGAGCTTTGCATGAATTCAAATCATAAAGAAAGGTATGTAATGTTTTCAACTCCAGATTTGATGTTCATACTCAAGCACCTTCAAGCGAATGATAAAAAAACGATAGTCATACCATTGCCTTCATTCTGCTGTTAACACAAAAGATCTATCTCCATAGGAGTCGAGATCGGAGTTCACCAGTTGATAGATGATATCCGCGAAGGTTTCACTTCACTGCTTTTACAGTCAAAGAACTCGAAAAGAAATTTATTTCTAGAATGAAATAACCAAAATTAAAATAAGTTCTGAGTACTAACATGATGATTGCACTTTTCCAGAGTATCAGCCCTGGTGTAGTGGACACTCCGATATTTGATGAGGAATTCAGGAAGAATGAGATGGTCAAAGATCTTCTGGCGAACAGATCACTGAAACCAGAAGATATCTCCGATGCAGCTCAATACGCATTATCCACACCACCATCTGTGCAGGTGAGTTCAATGGATATTGGATAACTATACAGGGTGTTTCATAATATGTGGGACGCACTTCGAGAGGTGGAGATGATGAAGTTTCCATGAACAAAGGTCGTCAGACGCTTCGTTTGCGATGAACAGGGCTTTAAAGTTGTGAATATTTATAAAATTCAATCATATCCACCATGTATGGCTTCTCTTGGTGGCAAAATTTGGTCTGTTATTTAACTGGCATAGTGCCGTAATTCTTAAATGATATCTAGCATTGTTATAGAGTGATCTGAACAGATGTCAAAATCGAGCTGAATTTGGTTATTCCGTTTTTCTCGAAAACAGGGATGACACATTATTACCTATGAGGAGACCGACCAGGGGACTCTTCATTTTACAAAACATTCACGATATTCGTCTCATGTCATTGGATGTGAGACTTGAAATGTAGGTGAATTTTTGTGGCTACCTAACAACTAAGTGACTCACTGAAACCTCACATTCTTGTCTAATAATATAACAAACCGAACCAATACATTTTTATGTTGAATGGGGAATCGTTTCATACATTACTGCTAGATTTATTTGGCATCGAAATGTGAATCAGAAAATTGTTCTAAAAAATTGTTCTAAAATTGTTCTATCCGTCATTCGGTTGCCCCCTTACGAGCAACCTTCAGAAGTCTTCGAGAGTCTTGTGCGAGCAAGGAATGACGGGGGCCTTACCTTTTAACGTGTGATCCCAAACACTTTCTTGGGGCATCAGAAAAATTTCTGCAGTCGACGGGACTCGAACCCACGACCGGCAAGCGAATACGGATTAGATATGGACACTCTGTCCGCACGGCTACCTGGCCCTTAAATGACCAAAAGGGCCCGGAATAGCAGTTATTGTGATATCAATCGGATTCTCAAATCGACTCACGAATAATATGTGTGGAATGAATGTTATGCCCTCTAATATCTCTGGTATCAATCGGTGCTAACTGGAATAGGCGAAAAGTTTCGTGAACCATTCACAAAGCAGACCCAATGAACTACTCGGCCTCAGAAAACCAGAGCTGAAGCTTATCACTGGCTATCTTACAGGAGATAATGATGAAGATGATGGAAATCCCTAAATTCGAGTGGCAACGGAAAATTGAGAAACTTCTTCGTTCCCAGTGAGAATCGAACTCACAACCTCTATGTTACATGCCCAACGCTCTGGGACACCCGTCGATCAATCGGCAACGAAGTTTGGGCTCTCATCACACACCAGGCGGCAGATACCTCCCAATACCCGAAGTCATTCGAAACCATGCACTATATAAAGAATCGCTGGCAGCATGGTACTATACTGCTTTTGAGGTATCACCTCAAAAAGATGGGCCTAGCGGAGACCACTGATATAAATTACTATCTGGACTAAAGTTTCTGCCTGAAAATGCTTCTGCTCAATGCGCAGGATCAAACTGCCGTTCATGATAACGAGTAATGTTATACTTGCTGTTCGGAAACATGAGCAAGACTGAATAAGCTTTATGGCAGGTCCTAAATGCGGAGCATTCATCTTCACCAGTTCGATCTCATGAGCTTACTCTCTTTCTTATCGCTTTAGTGGTCTAGTTAGTATAGTTCATGTCAGTGGCGGAGACTGACACTTTCCGCTTTTGCATACTTTGCTCCTGTAATGTACTAACTAGTTTGCCAAAGACTGAATCATCAGCATATACTTAGATGGAATTATGGCCAATTATCGACATTGGTTACATACTATCGAGGTAGGTGTTTAAGGGGTCCAGTTCTAGTATATCTATATTTTTCAATATAATAACCCTCTCATCATATATTTTCATGCAAACACATACCAGATTTCAGGAAAACAATTTTATGAATAACACAATGATATCTTCCTAACCTCTCTCTTCTTCCGTGGTATATCTTCTCAGAGTAACTGCTTTCTAGCTGGTACATGTTATCTATATCTAGATCTTATATTGGGTAGCATTACTTCAAAATGGATTCTTCGTTGCGAGATACTCCTGGAATATGGAATTCATCATCAGTTATTATCATGAGCCTTTCTTTATATCCCTGCCTTCATAGGAGTAGGGAAAACGAAATACTGTTGCATAAGCTCATTACTTGACCAATATAGTCTGATGATAACATATGGAGCTTTCCAATTCTCATTATTCATTTGGCACATCAGGTATTTCTGTAGTTGGAACTTCTATCTCATTTAGTTTCATATTAGATACAGGTTTACATACACATTTGATGATGAAATTAGGTAGCTTGATACTTACATAATTGATATCATAATTGAACAATCGATTTTTGATATTATCAATTGATTCATTGATACTCCTGCCATCATAAATAACCACCAGGGGAATTGAGAAGCACAAGTATTCGACAACAAAGCAGAGAAAAACGAGACATACGTGATCACGAGAGTCAAATATAATAGTGATCCAAATGACTGTTGATGTTGACGTTCCTAGAAAATTCACCAGAGGGACGAGTAGTTAACAGGATGTTGGCCAGCAAAGGTCCACAACTCGTTAGAGTTCAATCATTCACAGACATCTCACCATCACAAGACCAGCATCGTATTTTCAACTGACGGTTACTTAGCATAGGGAAATCAACGGCCCATTACCAATACGCCGGCATCGTCACTTTCCCAGACTTGCCTGCACTAGGCCGGACTTCTTCTGGTATTTACTGGAAAATTAGGTGGAGGTAATCACGATAGATATCCTAGGAGTCCTAGGTCATAGTGATGAAGAGTTCTTTTTTATGTGGTCCACCTACAATCCACTCAATATTTTGACTGCCTCAGCAGATACAGATGATTCAATATATTGTTCGAGGGAAAACCAGCTTTGAAATAGTGACTTTTTCCCCGCAGGACATCAGATCACTTATATATTGATTGTACTGGTTGCAATATTTGATAGAACACTGACTGTATTTATTTAATATTTCCAGGTACATGAATTGACCATCAAACCATTGCACGAGAGAGAGTGAACTGTTGCTAGTCACCCAATGTGGATTCTTTAACTCCCGGACACATCTTGATATGGCGACAGAAAGTTTATTTTTTGTTTTTGTCACACAAGATATTTTTGTCAACGTCGAAAAATGTAATGATTTCAATTAAACATATATTTCATGATATTACCGATTTCTTCTTTCTTCCAAGTTCGATATTTTTATAAGATTGAACAATCGAAAATCTTGTTCCTAATCACATTTTTGAATCTCACTCAGTTTCTGAGGAAATTATGAAAATTTGATCTGTCCTCAAAGAATGTATTGTATGTATATAGGTGCCCTCAAATCACCCATTGGGATTATCCACTAACCTCAATGAGTATTATTCTGAGATTGTGAGACTTCCTCAGTAACCAATCAAACTGAATTTTGCCATCATGGAAGCTTAAACAGGGTAATAATAATGTAAAACAACAATCGATACTTCCAACCTCAACACCCTGTATCTTGAAAACAGAGTATTTCAGGACCTTTGTTGCTATGAACTTTTCGTCTTAGAATCACCCAAATAATCGCCCCTTGGAGTTTTGCCACATACTTAAATAACATCTTGTATAATAATATTATTATTAATAATGATCATTATTGATTATATTTTATCTGGGAATATATTCCTCTTCAATACAATCATCCAATCAAGGGGTTCGAACTTGAACGATAGCAACTTATTTTTATAGACCTCAATCGCAGATTCGTGATTAGGTTTTTTCAATTAAAAATCTTTTTCCACGTTCTGTATGATCAATATCGATTTGTCTCACATTCAAAAACTATATTATTATAATTGCCACAAAAATGAATTGCACAGCAATCGATTGCATGCAATGAAAATTGAAAATTGTATAGTGGCTCCAGAGTCTATGTGCAATATTTCGAGGAAGGGAGATAACTATAATTGGTAAATCATGTCGAATGTCTTGTGGAATTTCACCAAATCATAGTGTTTTTTGGAGATATTCCCAAAAATCAAGTGGATATGTTTGAGAAAATTATTAGCTTTGGCAGTAATCTATCTAATTTCTTAGGCGCCTTGGATTCATTCTGAAAATATTCCGAATCATTTTTGAAAAACATATTTCCAGGAGTATCCATGCAGTTGTTTTTCATTACTTTTTTGCATCAATATGCAAACGAATTCATCTTTTTTCAAACAATAAGGGAATGGAAACAAACAAAATCTGGCTTGCAACATAATATGAAGAAAACTATGATGCTGTCTATAAATACCCCTCATCAAGAATTACCCAGTATTATCGATTCAGATTTTCATTAAAAAGCATAATGAAATCATGCTATACAATATCAACAATCACTAACTATATTACGGTGCAATGAGCTGTTTCATAACTTAATGAATAACTCAAATATGCTTCAACAGTTGACAGTGGCTTTGACCTCAATAGTGCAAGATAATGGTTATGAATCATGAAGATGGTTCAATGTGAACCTGAAGCATAAGTTTTGTCACAGTTTAAGGAATATTCCTTAAACTGTGGTTTTGTAGACCTATAATATAGTATATTGTCCCTTTCACAAATACCTTTTTCTCATTTCAATTGTCAAATCTATAAGTTGATGAAAATACATAGTAATTGAATTTCAACAGTGACAGTTGAATTTCTGGTAAAGTTTAAAAACAGCTTTTGCTGACACTTCACCATTTCATCACATATACCTTTATCTTTTCTAATGTATAGTAATGTAGGTACTTAACTATTTTTTTTTTATGAATAAAGACGATTTATTATTAGGTATCAATGTAGATAGCTACTTATCTATGAAATATTAAGGATGTTAAGGAACATATATATATCTGATTGAGCTCTTCAGTATCTACGCTACTGTTTTGCGGTATCCTTGAAGTACCGCCAAAGTCCATGGTCTAATGGATCGATTAAGATTACCAAACAGTCGTCTGTATTCCACTTCAGACTTCAGTGACTACATTTCAGTTGGTAAGTAGTAGTAGATGTGAATTATACTGCCCTGACCAAACAATCAATATAATTATTATATCCCTGATTTTCAGTCAGTGCAAATATGGTTCTCTCGATGGAAAGATGGGTCGGTAAAGTTGCTGTCGTGACTGGAGCTAGTGTTGGAATAGGAGCAGCCATTGCACGGATGCTAGTTGAAAATGGAGTGATCGTAAGTGAAAAATCATTCATTTATTAGGAAAAAATAATGACCCACATTTTTGAAACGGACTAGAGTGAAAGCTATTTGACGATTTTTGACAGCAATGAAATAGTAATTTTCCTAACAAGTGCGGAAATTGATTCTTTCCCGCACGTGACTGCCGTTGACACGAAAGACGCGAAGCGGAGTTCGGGCAAGCAGTCGAGTGCGGGAAAGAAACTTTCCGCATGAGTTAGGAACAATATTTTTTCTACAAGCGTATAGGAAATTGATTGAATCGTTCAATTAATTATTCAAGCAAATAGGAACAACTAACAAGATATATATATATTCTCTATTTATTAATTATTAGTAATAGCTATTGTGAACTTACAGTTTGACGCATTATGTTGGTTTATTGCGGAAGCCAGCAGGCCCATTAGGAGTTTGGTCTCTAGGTTCCAGACACTTCTATGAAATGAGCCAAAAATACCTATTCTTCATTCGGTTTTTTCATTTCTTTATTGTTGCAACATTCAATAAAACGCGTGTATAGCTTCTCATACCTTTCTTGAGACTTCGTTGGTGATAACGCATCTGTATCAAATCCCTATAGCTAGAAGTTTTTGATCACATTGTGGCATTTCCACTGAATCGAAAATGACAGTAACGCTGTGTCTGTCACTTCGACAATTTCAAATTTATTTGAGGTTTGATTGGCATGACAAATTGACGTTTCCCGTCAGATCAATCCAAATCTATAGGGGGATTTTTATAATAATCAATTTTTATTTCTCAATATTTCTTAATTTTTACAATAAATTGTGCAATTTGATGGATGATTCTGAACATACATACTTAATACTGCAACAAACAAACTTTAACTTTTATATTCCATCACCAACCACTTATATTACTAGCGATTTTATCATATCTTTGTTTTCCCGCACTGTTGCGGGAAAATGACACTTCCCAAACTAAATTGCGTGCGGGTATAGGGTGAATCACGCACGCTTGTAGAAAAATACTTGTATAGTCTCATCAAAGTCAATTGGAGCGCTTCGAGCATGGAAGTTCCGCTGTTCCTTTGTTCACCATTATTTCGTGTCCATGTTGATGATGATAAATAAACCAAAATACAAAGTCATTTCCAAGAATGTTCAATTCCAGATAGCAATTTTTGGTCTGAACGTCCACAACCATTTATGGACGTCCATTTTATTGCTACATACTCGGGACGTCCAGAAAAAACGTATTTGAAACGTCAAATTTACAGACTCTTACGGTATATCAGTTTTAATAAACATAAGTAGGTTGGTATTTATTAATTTCAAAATCAGAATTATTGAATTGAATATGGATACAAGTGATGTTTACACGTTCTCAGTCGAATTGAAAAAAACTCCCAAAATTGTCAGTCATCTCAGGAGCGCGATTTGGAATGGATTTTTTTACTAGAAATTCCTATTCCCCAACTTCAAGAACCATCTGATATTAATTCTCATTCGAATCGGGCAAGAAGTGACAAAACTTGTCCTTCATCTTGGACGGTTTTTTTAAATTTTAAATTTTCAATTTTCGGCGAGGAATATGAAGAATAAAGTTTTAATGAATCTTCTTTTCATCTCGTTCAGAAAGAAAAGGTGCGTTGCATTCTTTTCGAACCTTTGAAGAATGTAAGTTGCTGAGAATTCTTTCTTCGGCGAAGAGCCGGCTGCAGATTTCTACCGTCATCTGATAACGAAATGATATTGTCCTCGATATTGTCCCAAAGGATAGTAAAAATATTGTAGTTCATCGAACGGCGCCTGTGCCAATCACTATATCCTGAGCAAAATAATTGATATATTGCATTTTCCTGTGCGGACGTTTGCACTCGATTTCGTGATTTGATAACAAGATAAGAATCATGCCATCCGATACCAATTGAATGGTAGATCTCAGAAACCTACTTGTGTCACCCCTCAGCCTGAGCCTGAGTTGTTATAGCATACAATACATACTGAGTTCCGATTTTCTAGAGAAAATTCAGGCTTGAAAGTTTTATACTAGAACGAGGGTAGAAAAACTTGACTCGATGACGAGACTATAATAATAAAGTGTGCATGACGTGGTTCTTTTTTCATCCACTGACACTAATAGTTCTAACTTACTGTACATGATAATTTTCACTTCGATCGATATAACTTTAGGTATTACCAATTACTCCTCCTTTCCAATTACAAATTGAAATACATACATACTCATCAACGGATTGGACATTATACAGGTTGAGTCAGTTATTTGTAGCAGGACTTCAACAGCTGAGAGAACTTTTTTTTTTAATAAAAATTCTATGGAAACATATTTCGTTTCCGATATACAGGGTTTCAAAGTTCAGGATTCTTGTGTGTTTTCCGAATTTAGTAATAATAATAATAATAATAATAAATTGCCTTTATTTATCCTGGCGGAGTTTAGCAAGGCTACTCTTCCACTATACTATAATTTCCGTCATGATGAGTTGAATTTTGGTACACCTATCACACTTTGGAAACGCAATATTCATGACTATCGAGCGTACTTGAATACCTACAGGATGATACACTTTTAATGGTTGGCACATGTATCGGAAACGGAGATTCCACGCATATATTATGTTTACAGATGATTTTCATCTTGAAAAAATGCCTCCTTCAAGCTGTTAGAGTCCTTCTTCAAAAAACTGACTCACCCTTTATAATCCTGAACTAAGATAATCTAATATTTAAAATACTCCTGTCACGGTGACGGTGTTAGTAGTCGAACTCCTCCGAAACGGCTCGACCGATTCGTATGAAATTATTTGTGCGTATTCGGTAGGTATGAGAATCGGTCGTAATCTATTTTTTAAATCGAAAATTCAAGATGGCGGATCTAATATGGCGGACGAGTATTGTTATCCGATTTCATTCAAAATTGGTATTTGGGGGTTTTCGGGGTCGGAGATTATGATTCTTTCGTCAAATTTTGGAAATTCAAGATGGCGGATCCAATATGACGGACGAGTTTTGTTATAATGGTCAGATTCCATTCAAAATTGGTATCTGAGAGTTTTCGATGTCAGAGATTATGATTTTTCATCAGAATTAGGAAATTCAAAATGACGGATCCAATATGGCGGACGAGTTTTGTAATTATGGTAAGATTCAATTCAAAATTGGTATCTGGAGGTTTTAGAGGTCGAAAATATGAATCATTTGTCAAAATAGGGGAATTCAAAATTGGGAATCCAATATGGCGAACGATTTTTTTAATTATGTTCAGATTCTATGCAAAATTGGTATCGGGGGGTTTTCGGAGTCGAAGATAATGATTCTTTCATCAAAATTCGGAAATCTAAGTTGGCAGATTTAATATGGCGGTCGAGTTTTGTAACTATGATCCGATTCCATTCCAAATTTGTATCTAGGGGATTTTGGGATCGGAGATTATGATTCTTCATCAAAATTGAGAAATTAAAGATGGAGGATCCAATATGGCAACTGAGTTTTGTAATTATGATCCGATTCTATCCAAAATTTGTATCTGAATGTTTTCAGGGTCTGAGAAGAATTAGAAAATAAAATAATAAAAGTATGTTGATGAATATTTGACAAAAACAATATTTTCTAGAAATAATTATATATAGCAAAACAACGTTTGCCGGGTATCAGCTATTGTAATAAATATTAGTATATGAAAATCTAATGAAACACCTTTTCACAGATAGTCAAACTAAAACGACGTGAGTAGAAAATCAAGAGTAGTTTGAGGAAATGAAGAGGTATTGAGTATCGAACTAAAAAGCAGTAGAAGATAAATAGAGTGGTTTGAAAAACTAAAGAATCCCGCTTTTATTGATTGACAGACTAAAAAGAAGTAGAAATAAAATAATGAAAGTTTTCTGATGAATATTTATCTAAACATTTTTTCTAGAAATAATGTTAATGGCAAAACAACGTTTGCCGAGTCAGCTAGTAATAAAATAAAATTGAATTAACAAGTCACCCACCCACTACTCACACATATCTACATTTCCTCAGGAACTTCAAATTCTGGGTGAAAGGAAATTAACTAGAACGACACATCGACACGACGCGTCTGCCAGCTGAGAGGGGTCGCTTGATATAATGCTACGAATTTTGAACAAGGGCCAAAATCGACCTAGAAGCACCTCATTATTACCAGGATGAAAACACCGTCAAAGTGATTGGAATGGACGTACTGATAATGAATTATTGGCATTCAATTACTTCAATGTGTCGTTAGAAACCTAAACTAAACACTTCTCACGCTCTTATTATGTTAATAATTAGTCAATTAGTAAGCGTTGTTCAAAACTGTTGAATTTCATAGCTCATTTCAAACGAACCTTCATGGCGATATGTGGAATAAATGATGACGTCAGTTTTTAGGCTGTTCCGTTATTGGTCAGGTAATCTTCCATTTCCACTCATGAAGCAAGGTTGTCAAGTCACCAATTATAATCCAGTGATCAAAAAGATGTTATAGTCCTGTCGTTGGATGAAACATAATAGGAGGAACCCATGGTATTATAGTGCATTCTTGACTTCTTCTGGCAACCAGAATGTCCAAATATTTCTCATTCTCAATAACAAAATATCGAACACAGTAAAACAAGAGCGATTTTGTGTTATACACCGGTTTTCTGCAAATAAAACAAGTGGTAACTTATGAGTAGCAGGACGGCGTTTTTTGACTCGTTTTGAATGCTATCTATAGGCAGACGCTTATGTTCTAGATTCACTACGCAGTATCACTTTGGCGGTATTTTCATCCTGGTGATAATGAGGAGCTTTTAGGTCGATTTTGGCCCTTCTGGTGGTAACTTATGAGGCGCCAAATGATACTCCTGGCTCTTGGTCTAAGTGAGACCAGTGGTGTCCTCAACTGAAATTTTTTTTGCTGTTAGTGACAGTACGGCTGAAGCCTTGACATGGGCCTCTCCAGTAATTTCTAGAAAATATATATCTCGGCATATAGGAACAAAATGTGGAACAGTATCTCGTTCTCTGCTTATGTTATCAATATAATATTGAAGGAAGCGGTATAACGTGATGCTTTTAGTTAGATCTCCATAGGTTGACGGCAAAAACCCTGTCCTTAGTGACGAATGAGTTTCCCTTGTCGAATTGGTGAAACCTATGGTGAAAATCCGGAAGGTTTCAATAGATACGAAGTCAGAAATATGCGGTTGAATAATCATGTTCAGAATGGCGTCTGTATTGAAATGCAATGGGTTGATAATGGTGTCCGACAATTAATGGATTGTATCCAGATAATGTTGTTTTTTCGATTTCTTTTATGGTTATCAATATTATTCGTGAATTTATAAATGTCTCCTAAATATTCAGTTTTTCGAGTTATCATTGAAATTAAAACATCGAATTTTGCATAGGTTGTAGGACTAGCTAGAAGGAGTGATGAAATTGAGAAACTGGCTAAAACTCTTTCTGACAAAAAAGGAAAACTCTACGCTGTCAAAGCTGATGTATCCAAGGAAGAAGATGTTAAGAACGCTTTCAAATGGGCATCAGAGAAAGTTGGTCCGGTTCACATTTTGGTAAACAATGCTGGAATCCATGACAGAACAAGTTTGATTGATGGAGATACCGAAAAATGGAGAAATACCCTGAATGTCAATGTTGTTGCCCTCTGTATCGCTACTAGGGAAGCCATCAAGATCATGCGGGAAAATAACATAGACGGGCACATCATCCATATCAACAGTGTGGTTGGTCACAAAGTACCAAATCTGCCAAACCTAGATGTTTATTCTGCTAGTAAATACGCAGTGACGTCACTCACAGAGACTCTCAGACTTGAAATAAATGCGTTGAAACTGAAGATTAAAATAACGGTAAGTTATGAACAATCTTTTTTGTAATCTTGTTTCAATATTATAACTTTTCGTCTATAATTGCACGAGTGCATTAGAATTACCGATAATTTTGCAAGAAAGCCTGTTATCTGAAAATTGCAAGAGTTTATTTTGATATTTTGGCAAAAGAGCCCGAGTCCAAAGGAGGAGGGGTCTGTTACAAAATAAGAAAATAAACGAATGTCATTTCAATGCACGAATGCTATTCATTGGAATATTTCACGAAGTAAGGAATTCTGTCTGTTGGATATGGTATTTTCTGGTTCACTTTCATTAATGTTTTTTTTATGTCCATCTGACAGTTATTTGTATTGTTTACTGGCGTCTAGCGACATGGCTTTATAAATGTGTTGTTATGGCGACGGGATCTCTTCGCAGTGCAATCTTCGCTGTGTAGTGCAATTACCGATATAACATGGGGGAAATATTCGTTCACATTCTCAATATTGAAATGATGGTCATATAAACACTTATGTCAGTCAATATGAGGTTGCATTTATTGGATACTTGTTTGTAACTTCGTGATCTTGTTTACGGTGTCATATATCTACGACAGAATATCTCGTTAAGTTGACTTAATTCTCTTGTTATTTCTCAACTGGAAATTCAACTTCCGTATTGATCAAATTTCTCGAAGACTCTCAATCCAATAGTTAATTAATATATATCAAATATGTACAGTGTGTCCCACTTACCATGCTCACCATGGGTATCTTTTTAACGGTGAGAGATACGAGGTCCGTTAAATGACACCAAATGTGGAGTTTGTCAAGGCCAACTATAATGTGAAAAAATATTTCGATAAAATCTATTCGTTTTTGTTTTATACGCAAGAAACAGATTTTGATCATTTTCATGTCTACTCCGTAACTTCTTTATTTATGAAAATATTCAAAAAGGAATCTCACATTCTTATGGCAGTTTTTCAACGTGATTTTGAAAAAAATATGAAATTTATAACAACTCTTCCAGAATTTGAGAAACCAGCACCAACTTTAGTTTTTCAAATGTAGGTCATAGCTCAATATGACTTAGTTACAAATAACTTTTTTTTCTCTCACAGATGATATGTCGCAGTAATAGTTTTGTGTTGATAACAACGGAGTTATCGTCATTTATACAAAAACAAAAAATTTTTGGAAGCCGCCATCTTGCATTTATGAATTTTAACGAAAAAATCATGATCTCCGACCTCAAAAACCCCCACTTACCAATTTTGAATGGAATCTGACCAAATCTTGTCCCGCCATCTTGAAGCAGCCATTTTTTTTTAATTTGAAAAACTAAAGTTGGTGCTGATATCAAATTCTAGAAGAGTTGGTATAAATTTCATATTTTTTTCGAAATCACTTTGAAAACCTGCCATGAGAATGTGAAATTCCTATTTGGAAATTTTCATAAATAAAGAAGTTACGGAGGAGACATGAAAATGATCAAAATCTGTTTTTTGCGTATAAAACAAAAACGAATAGATTTTATTAAAATATTTTTTCACATTATAGTTGGCCTTGACAAACTCCACATTTGGTGTCATTTAACCGACCTAGTATCTCTCACCGTTAAAAAGATACCCATGGTGGGCATGGTAAGTGGGACACACTGTATACTGAAGAAAAGAGGTTCTGAGCCGAAATATATCTTTCAGTAGTTGTAACATGATTGAGTTCTTCCAGAGTATCAGCCCTGGTTTGGTGAACACTTCGTTTATTGATGAGGAAACCAGGAAAACCGAATACATCAAAGACCTTCTGGCGACCAGATCTTTGAATCCAGAAGAAATCGCAGATGGAGCTCAATACGTATTATCGACACCACCTGGTGTGCAGGTAATCCTAAAGAATACTACCTAATAATTATGATAAACTGCCCTGATATTGTTTATTATATATTTATTAATTATTCATCAAATAACCTGTATATTGTACAGTATATTTGATAGACAATAATAATATTTTTCTGATTTTTCTAGGTACATGAATTGACGATCAAACCATTGCATGAGCAATTCTGAACTGTTGCTGCTGCTGAGCTGGGATTTGTTTTGTTTTTCAATATATTCACTTATTTGTATTTCAATTATCTGATATCAAAATATTTTCGTTATTCTCCCACGTCTGATTGTTTATCTTGCTTACTTCACATTCTATTTTCTTCACTTCAATATGTATCAACTGTGTTCAATATTCGAAACTAGATTAAAATACATATGAAACTTCTAGGACTGTATCATTTACTATCCATGCCCTTATCTCTGCTACCTGTAATGGTGGTGTTTAGAAACCATTTCTTCTGCAATCAGCGACAAAATGCCGTAGGTCCGAGCCTAGGTCCAATAGTATTAGGTTGAAATATTATCCATTGTCCAAAGATGAGTGAACATTTGATATTTTTCTATTTACCTTTACAAAGTGTCACTGACAAGCGAACGAATTTTTCTTTTAGGCTCTCTGATAGAACATTTTTGAACGCAGTGACATTTTGTGGCAAATCATCTGATTTGTCCTCACTACACGTAAATTGAAATAATTGTAATTTTTTTATTTTATAAAAACGAGGAGAGTACAACCAGAAAAATCCGGAATAATGGATGTAATACATCCTACAGACATTATTTGAGTAACAAAACCATTGGAACAAATATATGCGCAGGAGTTCAGGATATGTGCAAAAATATGAAGAATATTTATTTTTTATACAAGGGAAAAAAGTAGTAGATTTTAAGCTCCAGGTCGTGTTGTCTCTCGGCGCGTAGCGGAGGGAGACAAAAAACCGTGAGCTAAAATCTAATATTTTTCCCGTGTATAATACACTATTATTTCTTTCTGTGACAGAATAAAGGACGAATCAATATTGAGTAGATATTACATTATTTTGAAATCTGAAAATTATCGACGTGAAATTTTTTGAAAGTTTTTATCAGTAGGGACCTGCGTTTTAGGCATCTTTATCATTCTTTTGAAGTAATGAAATATCTGATGTCACTTCTGTCAGTCTGATTCTGTGATTTGATTTCGAAAAATTGCGAAATCAGTGGTTGTTTAGTAATATACGTAACCGCGAAGTCGAATGGAAGATATAAAAGGACTTGCAGTTTTTTCTCGGAGACGGTATTATTGACTCATTTTTCGGAACTATAGCAGGTTCAAGTTTCGTTTAGCTGAAATCAGTTATGGAAAATTTGTTGCTATGGCAACCGTTGTCATGGTTACAGGTAAATAGAAAACAAAATCCCGTGGTGAGGAAATGCATGGTTGCCAAGTATTGTATCGGGTTTAGTATAGCTGAAATCAGTTATGGAAAAACTGTTGCCATGGCAACGATCGTCATGGTAACGAGTAAACAAAAATCCGATTCCCGTGGTGAGGAAATGCGTGGTTGCCAAGTTGTATCGGGTTTAGTATAGCTGAAATCAGCCTAACATTTTGTTCCACAAAAGTTCTTGCTAGTATTCAAACAATAACTTGATTCGAATGAATACCCTTCTTATCAATTTCTTGAAGACTGTTCGTCGTTGATTAATTCCCAAAATTACTACTTTTCTGACGATCATATATGGAAATGACGTCAGGAAAAAATAGGCTATGTTATTGAACAAATAGCGAGCGACAAAATAGTGCGGAACAAATAGCGCAGAAGGAAGGATACTTTTTCTAAACAATCTAACCTAACTCGGCTTAAATGAACCTTCTTAGAAAAAATACATTTTTCAACATCGATCAGATTTGGGAGCAAGGCATCGTTCGTGTGTGTTTGAAGACTGCATAGAAAAGGACACTACTTTTTCCAAACAATCTAACCTAACTCGACTTGAATCAACCTTCTTCTTGAAAAACATATATTTTCCAACATCGTTCAGATTTGGTAGCAAGGCATCGTTCGTGTATGTTCAAAGACTGTTGCTGAATCAAAATGTGCGCCTGAAGAAAGATATGAGTGAATCGAAATGAAGACAAATGGGAATGTGGGTGGGTCTAACGAGATGTTTCCATCTGTATTAGACAATCAGTACCTGTAGTCTCTCTTCCTATATCCTGCGCGATACCTCGTAATGAATATTCCAAAATGGCTCTGTTTCTTTTTGATTTTGTCGAATAGCTCAGCACGCGAAGGATGGTTACATTGAAGTGTTTTAGAAATTTATGAATGAAGCAATAATTCTCCGATACAACTTGGCAACCACGCATTTCCTCACCACGGAAATCGGATTTTTGTTCACTCGTTACCATGACGATCGTTGCCATCATGGCAATAGTTTTTCCGAAACTGATTTCAGCCAAACTGAACCCTATACAACTTGGCAACCACGCATTTCCTCACCACGGGAATCGGGTTTTTATTTACTCGTTACCATGACGATCGTTGCCATAGCAACAGTTTTTTCATAACTGATTTCGGCCAAACTGAACTCGATACAACTTGGCAACCACGCATTTCCTTACCACAGGAATCTGGTTGTTGTTTACTCCTTATCATGACGATCGTTGCCATGGCAACAGTCTTTCCATAACTGATTTCTGCTATACTAAACCCGATACAACTTGGCAACCACGCATTTCCTCACCACGGAAATCAGGTTTTTGTTTACTCGTTACTATGACGATCATTGCCATAGCAACAGTTTTTTCATAACTGATTTCAGCTAAACGAAACTTGAGCCCTATAGCACAACGAAAGCCATCAACAGTGTATGTATATGTGATATATGACATTTTATAACCTACCAACAGAGATGAAATGCCAAACTTGTTTCTTCTTCTGTTTAATGACATATCTATAGTATGTATTGTTTGAAGCATTATGTAGGTGAGCTTATTGCGGAAGCCAGCATGACCATGGGGTTTGGCATCTAGGTTTCAGACATTTCTAGGAAATGAGCCAAAAATACTTCTTCTTTTTTTGGTGTTTTCGGTGTTTGCACCATTTAATAAATCCCATGTAGTGCTTCTCATACCTTTCTCAAGACTTCGTTGGCAATAACACATATCTATCGCATCTGTAGCTGGGAGTTTTTCTTCGCTTCCACTGAATCGAAAATGACACTAACGCTCTGTCTGTCACTCTGAGAATTACACTTACTAATTTGTGTTTTGATTGACATGACAACAGTTGTTTCCCACATCAGATCTATTAAAGGTTATAGGGGGATTTATATAACAGTCAATTAATATTTTTCAATGAATAGTGCAATTTGATGGATGATTTTGTACAAACTTACTTAATACTGCAACAAAAAACCTAAAATTTTTATATTGTGTCACCCACCACTCATATTTTGCGAGAATATTATATGAATGTTTTCCTCGCACTAGTGTGGCAAAAAATTATCCGCACTAGTGTGAGAAAACTTTTACCGAACTACTGCGAGAAAATGACACTTCTCGAACTAAATTGCGTGCGGGTATAGGGTGAATCACGCACGCTTGTGAAAAAATGTATTCAGAAGTTAGAACGAGTATAACCAAACTAAACAGTGACTCCGTAATTTTGAAAAAAAAAACAATAACAAATCATACTCGGTTAGATAAATTGTTGGAAATGTCCACCGTTAGCTTAAACATGAAATAGTTATTTTTACAGTTTACAGTTTTTCAAACAATAAAGGAGCGGAAACAAACAAAATTTTGCTAGCAACATGATATGAAGAAAACTAGATTTTTTTTTATTAATAGTCTTCAGAAAAAAACACCCAGTATCAGGTTCAAATTTTCATAAAGAATCATAATGAAATAATGCTATACAATATCAACAATAACTGACTATATTACGGAGGAAAGAGCTGTTTAGTTACTTAATGAATAACTAAAATATGCTTCAATAACAGTTGAAAATGGCTTTGACCTCAATTTTGCCTAGATAATTGTTATGAACTGATATGAATGAGACATCAGATGGAACTAATAATTCACCATATTATTTATCAGATATGGTGGAATATCATTTGAATTCCCTGTGTGGGGGGCACCCATAATTATTACTTATTTCCCTAAATGGATTAGAAATCAGTAAATTAATTATGTAACTAGCGTTTAAGGACCTAGGCGGTTTACCTGCACGCTGCACTCCATAATTGCCTCTTTTACACCCTTGATGAATTAGTAACTATTTTGAAATCCTTTACCTGATTCGTGCTGTAATGAAGCGTGAAACTCTTATCTATACCTAATCACCATAAAGTGTCCTTGTGTGTGATTGTATTGTTGAATTTATTTCGAATTAGGAGTCAAAATAATATAATCTGTAAAGTACAGGCAGTGGCGTATAAGTTAACTCAAATGCAATATTTTGAAATATATATATACACAATGTGATATACAGGGTGATCCACGGTGGATGGCCTATTAGAAGTATCTGGAGAACTAAAAGCCAGAACATTCTGAAATGCTTTGATAATTGAACATTTTCTATCCGTCTAAAATATTTTCATCGATACAGTGTTGCCACTTCTATCAGAAACAACTAGCAACTTCGTTATTTCAAATGGAGCACCGTGTATTTTATTGCATTTTTAGATTTTTCCTGAAGAGCTGATTTCATCAATGCATCACACTTTGGGTCTAGCAGGAATGATTACAGAGAAATAGGGTGTTCAAAATAGAGATTTTTTCATCATCATTTCATTTCAGAAGAGCATCGTCCATGAAAATATCTATAAAATAGAGCTAGATCGCCAACTTTTCTACAATGTCCCGAAGAAGTGAGTGAGTTTGTGAGCGAGGCATCACCCACGAGACGAATTGACCTTTTTTGGACAGTATCCAACAGTTGAAATAATGTCACTACTACTACTACTACTACTGTGAAATATTCAGGTTTTTAAGGAACATATATCTGATTGAGCTCTTCAGAATCTACGCTACTGGTTAGTGGTATTCTTGAAATACCGGCGTAGTCCATGGTCAAATTAATCGATTCAGATTCCCAAACAGTCGTCTGTATTTCACTTCAGTGACTGCATTTCAGTGGGTTAGTAGTATAGATGTGAATTAGACTGCCCTGACCAAACAATCAATTGATTATTTTAGGTACCCTGTTCATAATTCTTTTGATTTTCAGTCAGTGCAAAAATGGTTCTCTCGATGGAAAGATGGGTCGGTAAAGTTGCTGTCGTGACTGGAGCTAGTGTTGGAATTGGAGCAGCTATTGCACGGATGCTAGTTGAAAATGGAGTGATCGTAAGTAAAATATTATCATTCATTCAATTAGTAAAAAATAATTAACCA